AAATTAAACACAATCCTAAACACGTTTAGATGTAAACATGTAATACAAGTGTTTAATTTCTAAGCACGACTTTTACAGTGTAGGTCAAGTATTCAAGCATATATTGGCTACCCCTTGTCTTTATATAGTAGAAATTTATTTCTGTGTTTATATAATTTGGTTAAAGCAGTAAAAATAATTACCAAAATATAGATATTAAAGTTACTCTTGGAATAATATATTATGGCACAGAGTGACATTTATTTCAGTTCTGAAATTGTTGTAAAAATGATAAAATGTGTTTACCTAATTCTTTTACATATGTTTTTAAAAACAAAATATATTTAGTAAAAAAGATAATAAATTATTCTAATAGCATCCACTTGTAAATAACAGCATATGGTGCTTGATAGTACCTATAAGTTTGTTAATAAAAAGTGTCAACAATGGGACGTTACTCGTAAATTACTATCGGCACCGCTTCGTCAGAAATATCGACACATCGAAGTGGCACATTTGCGTATTACAGCGTATTAAGTGGCACAAGTTTGACACGGGCCAGTTTATAAAAAGCCTCATCACATATTTTAAATTCAGCATAGGTTCCCCAGAAGTTAAGAAAGAAATTTCAACTGATGTGTTGAAAAAACTTGACGCGACGAGTGACGACCTTTGGTTTGAAGGCTTCGTATTCTAATTCAGTACGCTTAATCAAAACAATTTTTATGTGAGAACTTCTAAAAAGTATACACAATTATTGGCAATTGTAACGAACAGCATACTTTGGTTTCATTTGATATGACTTTTTGGAGGAAACAGAGTCGTTTCAGTTGAAGAAAAAATGACCCAAAAAATGCCCAAATATGGTAGTCACATGACTTCCATTGTTGCTTTAAGAAATGGGGTCAAACCGGGGTCAGCTTTCCGACTGTTTTCTCCTTTGAATTGTTTAACATTTTTCATATCAGTCCTTTTATAACTGACTATACAGTATGAGTTTTCCTCATTGTTGAATGCCGTACGATGGCCTATATAAATTGCTTAATTACAACCACTTCATTTTAGCTGATTCAGTTGGATAACTGCACGTGGATAGCTGTCTCATTGACAATGATATTAGATCTCATCATTTATATATATATCTAAATAAAGTTTCTTGAATTCACAAACAACTTCCCCCACTTCAAGCTCTAGATCATGGGGGGGTCTCTTCCTATATGAAGGTATATACATATGTGCCGCTGGAATGGGTCCCTTTTTTGATACGTCAAATATATCAATCGGGTGCAATTTTACCGAGGAAATATATCAATAGGTAGTAACTGACCAATTGTGAAATATCAATGGGTCATAATTTTTTCAGTTTGTTGTGCAACGATCGTCACTGAATTTCCCAAACTCATTGTCATTAAAATTTCCACATCTGGTGAAACTTATTGACACAAGTTTTGTTATTAATCAAATTTTATTACACTGTCACAAATAATAATCTTTACCCACTAGTAAATAAAAAGGTCACATATCGAACCTTTTGCACTTATTGCGTAACACATCGATCTATTTGCACTAATTTTGTTGCGTTTATTCTCATTGTGTGTCTTGCTTAATTTTAAATTTGCCGAAAGAATTTGACTGCCGTGTTGTAAGAAATGAAAGACATACGTGGCATTGATAGAGGGAAATGTCTAAATTGTCACGAATTTGACGAATTTATTGGAAATTTGAGATGTGATTATTTCGACAGTTAGGGCTGATAAATATATGAATGGGTTATGATTTCGCTGTGAAATATATGTATAGGTAGGGGTTTCACGACAATATATGAATGGGAGGTGTTTTTTAAATCCCAGCTGCAGTTATTTGGTTTTAAATAGATGTGTAAAAACGGCGAATATGTGTCCCCCTATGACAAAACATCAGGAAATTTCAAATAGCCTTTAACGAGTTCTGTGCCACAGGGCCGATTATCGACCCAAAGACATACTCCTGTCAGTGCCAAAGGGCCGATTCATCGGCCAATTCAAATAATGTTATGAACTACGTAATGTACTATGACGTCGCCGTTTTTGCGCTAAATATAATTCCTCCATCTTGTAATTTTCGCGCGTTTTTTTTACCAATATCAAAAAATATGGATTATGAAATTTATGAAAATAAAATTATGTAAGGATTCTTTTATAAATATTATAGAATAATAGATATAATAATTTTATTATATTTAGAAGTATAGAGTCTCAAATTTACTCTCTTTTTTCGGCGCTTTTGCAGTATATTTTATATATGCATTTTAGGCTTACTTTCCTGAAATTTTCAAGTGTTTACTTTAAAAAATGTATCATAGTTAAAAGAATATAAGTAAAAATGTAAATACATAAAATATAGAAGATAGAGATTATTCAAATATGAACAAAATACCTTTACAAAGAACGGGTGAGAAAAAACGCAAGTTAAAAAATTAAAAAAAAAACCTCAATAACGTGAAAAGATGAAAAGTACGCAAAAAAGTGCAGTACACATTATGACGTAATTGAGCTAATGACGTCATCCATTAATGCATCCATCGGATTATTATGGCTTATCCTAACCCTCGCTTTCGAGTTTATCCTCCAGCCGAAGTTAGGGATCACACACAATTTTAGAAATGTAGGACATAAAAGAATGCTGCCGAGAAATGCAAGACCCATTGCGGCATTTGCCTATTTCATGCTGATTTTCAACAATTCATTCAATGAAGAAGTTTGTCTTGAAAACAAACAGGTAGTTTTAAGCCCATGTTCCTTTAAAAAAAACACCAGTGAATTTTTATGCATGGAATAAATTTTAATGAAAAAACTTTACTGCGTTCAAATTTTTGAGACTATATTTATATATAAGGCATACGATAGGAAAGGCCTAACAGTTAAACAGAAATAATAAATCAAGGAGTTGGATACAAGAGATACAAATAATCTAACTTCGATCGGTTCATGTGTTTACTCATTTATTATTTTGTCCCTTCTCTCAACGTATTATCCCTCCATACTAGTCTTTATTAAAAAAAAGAAAGAAAAAAAAAAAACCGCACACAATCCTCAGAACTTTGTGAACATTTATAAAATATTAAATTACAATTACAGTGAATAATTATTGTACGCCTTTTTTTTTGGTCATTTTTTTTTTTTACAGTAGGCAAATTTTTTTCATGTATTCATAGCACAATTCATATGATTATGTCTTTTTAACTTCTATTATACCTAAACATTATAACAAAGTAAAGAAGACAGTTATTTATTTATAATTATCCTCAAATCAAACTACCAGTTTCCATGGAAACAGAACACAACGATTTTGAGAAATACACATTTTTAATAAATGTATGCTTTATAATGATAAAATATTTAATCACACATTTTATTTCTGTATTTTTTTCCATCAAGTATCATCAAATTATTCAAAATAAGGAAATTAGTTTCAAAAGTAAATTTGGTTGCCATGGAGACTAATGACTAGATTGACAAATTTGTATTTCAAATCACCTAAACAATATTTGTTCAAACTATAATTTTCTGAACATAATCATTGTTAGGAGCATAAATATTAAATATTGACTCTATACTTTTAAACAACCCTTTAAAAATACTTAAAGAATAACTAATCGAAGAATTCAAATAGAGAAAAATATTCAACGAGTGACTGAACAACACATTAATTCACGAATGCGCGTAGCGCATGAGTTAATTATCAGTGTTGTTCGGTCACAAGTTGAATATTTTTCGATATTTGAATTCTTTGATTAGTTATTCTTTTTATTACATTGGCAAATGGCCTTTTTTTATGAAATTAATGTAGAAAATGTAAGGAACTATATCTTTTTTCTACGCATTCACAATTTGTTTTGATCCGACGTTATCGACGTCTTGACAACGCCTATTGTTGTATGACGTCAGAGAGTGAAATAACCACGTTTATTTCACATGTGAAATTATCGGTTTTTATTTGACTGGGAAATCAATGTAATTCAATGCTACCAATGTAATAAATGTATTTGTCACCCCTTTTCTGGACGTTAACTCTGACAGTATCAGCTCTATAATAAATACATGAGAGCTGTTAAGATATGTTTATAATGCAGGAATAATACCCTTTAAATTATTGAAAAATGTACTTATTCTTTAAAATTTTAGAGGAATTCCATGTGAACTTTGGAAAAAAGGGAGGGGGTATGAACCCCTTTCAATTTAGTAGTTATTTTGTCCCTTTACAATCATACCATACACACATACAGTTGACCTACTGTTTATAGTATCTGAGAAAAGGACCTAATCACCTAACTTAAACCTTGATCACTGATCCATGAAATGAGGTCAAGGTCATGTGAACCCTCTCTGACAGATATGTAGGCATTACAAGGAACCCATATATACAACAAGAATGTATCCAAAGTACACAGATGTCCCACTCACACTACCATTTTCTAATACTGTGTTCTGTGGACTGTGAAATTAGAGGTCAAAACTCTAATTTGGCATTAAAATTAGAAAGATCATATCATAGGGAAAATGTGTAATAAGTTTCAAGTTGATTGGACTTCAACTTCATCATAAACTAACTTGACCAATAAATTTAACCTGAAGTGGGCTATGGACGAATGAATAGACAGACGAACAAACTAACGCGTACAGACCAAAAAACATAATGCCCTAAGGAGGGCATAAAAAATCTTATTATTCATAATAAGTGAGAAATTCACATGACCAAAAAACTGATTTGTTTTTAAAGTTTTTCAACACTAACCACCTGGTAGATATATATTTTATGGTTTTGCTGAACCATGAAAATGAGGTCAAGGAAAAGGGACACATGACAGAAGGAAACTTCTTAGCATAAGGTACATGTATCTGCATACAAGGTGTGAAGCATCCAGGTCTTCTCCCTTCTAAAATATAAAGATTTATACAAATAGTTCACACTGATGCAGTCAGAAAGTAATCCCTAAGTCTCGCATAGTGCTCCTTTTTTTTTACAGGCAAGACAAAAACCAGTTAAAAGCATTATTTTCTTTATAATTCTATGAAAAAAATTTTCACAAATAATCAATCAAGTCATTATCTTTGAAGGTGCAGACACACACAAGCCAATCCAGTCCCTTCTAACCAAACCACTTTGATTCCTTTTCCTTGACGGATTAGGGCAAAAAATTCATGGCCCAGTCCATAATGATCAAAACTTCTTCAGGCTTTGATTCATCCAAAAGGGTAGTATGTCAACGGTCTTGGTTCAAACATCTTATAACATGCTGCCGCCAAGACTTTATATGTGACTCTGATAGCTTTATGTCTGTTATGTAGCTCATTAATGATTATGTAGTTCTTCTGGAAAATCTGCAAATATTGAAATACAAATGTATTAGTGCCAATTAATTGTACATGTATGATCATGTTTAAAAAAAAATTGTAAGCATGAAAATCATATATCATAAAAGATAAAATCAAGTCCAACTGAAGTTAATTCATACAAAGTGTAGTTTATAGACCTGTTGGTGACCTTCTGCTGTTGTCTGTTCTATGGTCGGGTTGTTGTCTCTTTGACACATTCCCCATTTCCATTCTCAATTTTATTATCTCTACTACATTTATCATGTTCATGAAAATTGTATTTTCAAGAATTCATTTTGGCCAGACTGCCAACTGATTTTAAAAGATGATTATGGAATGATCAGATTTTGTTTTCTATCGTGGAGAAATAAACTACTCACTGTTATACTTGTAGTGCACATTGAGTAACTTGGAACAGTGAGTAGTTTATTTCTTCATGATAGAAAACAAAATCTGATGAAGTGTGTACAACAAAATTCAATTCAAATAAAATCGCCTGTTTAATTCAACAAGCATGTGATGTCAAAAACTCGAAACAACTGTTAAATTTTGTTTTTTCAAAATTGTAGTACATATCTTCCTACATTATTTTTTTGTATCAAAATGAATATCGCTCTGGCAGAGGAAATAATTGAAAAGTGAAAGTAGAAAGTTATAAATAGATTTGATAAATATAGAAAAATAAAGAGTAAATTTATTTTTCTATATTATATATCTGATCCAAGTTTTAAATAAAATGCTCCGCTGGGCACAGCCTGATACGACCGCAGTGGTCAAACCCTGAACAGTTGGGGCAAGTATGGACACAACATTCAAGCTTGATACAGCACTGAATTTGGATTGTGATTAAATATTTGACACAGCATAGGTTTCTGACACAGAATGAATGTGGTCTAAGAACTTAAAAATTTTTGATTTACCTATTCAAGCCATATCATTTCGTTTGCTTTTATATATAAATCAGAAATAACAAATTTAAAATGGAAAATTTTAAAGAAAAAAAAAATACCTCCCCTAAATTTTTTGAACCCACTTATGATTCATCACCCCCAAACTCAATCCCAGCCTTCCCTTTGTTGTATGGTACCTTGCATTACAATTTCAGAGAGATCCATACACTTGAACACAAGTTATTGTCTGGAAACTAGAAAAATGCTTGTTTTTAGGCCCCTTTTTGGCCCCAAATTCCTAAACGTTTAGGGCAATTACCCCCAAACTCAAACCCAGCTTTCCTTTTGAGATATGGAACCTTGTAGTACAATTTCATAAAGATCCATACACTTACACACAAGTTATTGTCCTGAAACTAGAAAAATGCTTGTTTTTTTCCCTTTTTGGCCCCTAATTCCTAAACTTTTGAGGCAATTACCCCCAAAAACAATCCCAGCCTTCCCTTTGTGGTATGGTACCTTGCAGTACAATTTCAGAGAGATCCATACACTTGAACACAAGTTATTGTCTGGAAACTAGAAAAATGCTTGTTTTTAGGCCCCTTTTTGGCCCCAAATTCCTAAACGTTTAGGGCAATTACCCCCAAACTCAAACCCAGCTTTCCTTTTGAGATATGGAACCTTGTAGTACAATTTCATAAAGATCCATACACTTACACACAAGTTATTGTCCTGAAACTAGAAAAATGCTTGTTTTTTGCCCCTTTTTGGCCCCTTCTCCTAAAATTTTGAGGCAATTACCCCCAAAATTAATCCCAGCCTTCCCTTTGTGGTATGGTACCTTGCAGTACAATTTCAGAGAGATCCATACACTTGAACACAAGTTATTGTCTGGAAACTAGAAAAATGCTATTTTGGTCCCTTTTTGGCCCCTTATTCCTAAACGTTTAGGGCAATAACCCCCAAACTCAATTCCAGCTTTCCCTTTGTGATATGGAACCTTGTAGTTCAATTTCAGAGAGATCCATACACTAACACACATGTTATTATCATGAAACTAGAAAAATGCTTGTTTTTTGCCCCTTTTTTGGCCCCTAATTCCTAAAATTTTGAGGCAATTACCCCCAAAATCAATCCCAGCATTCCTTTTGTGATATGGAACCTTGTGGTACAATGTCAGAGAGATCCATACACTAACACACAAGTTATGTCTGGAAGTTACAAAAATGCTTATTTTTGGCCCCTTTTTGGTCCCTAATTCCTTAACTGTTGGTACCATAACCCCCAAAATCAATCCCAACCTTCCTTTTGTGTTATTGAACCTTATGGTAAAATTTCATGGAGATCCATTCACTTAAACTAAAGTTAGAGTGCGAAAACCAATGAGTCTTCAGACGACGACGACACCAACGTCATACCAATATACGACCAAAAAATTTTTAATTTTTGTGGTCGTATAAAAATTGTGGGCTCTATGAAGTGTTGTTGTCATATGCATTAGTATTTTAAGTTCTGTAATACAATAGTTTGAATGGTGACATCCCGTTAGTCCGACAACCATTATTCCGACATCCCATTATTCCGACAGCCCATTATTCCAACATCCCATTATTCCGACAGCTCCTTATTCAGACAGCTCATTATTCTGACAATGCATCTGTCATAAGTGCATGGGTAAATTTTCTCCAAAAGACCAACTCTGTTCTCGATAATATTTGTAGTTGTCATTTTACATTCCGATTATTCTTCATGCGGGATATTTGTCTCAGTGCCTTGGAGCTGATATATATACATGCTTATTGCAACTGCTGAGTCCTAATTTTCGTCCCCCTTTTTTTACGGGTCCGGGTATTTCATTTGTCTTTACATTTCGGCGTTTGTGTGTCCATTATCATTCTGTGCTGTTTAAATTAATGAAATTAGTATTTTTAACAATATGTGTTGTTACTCAGTTTAACTCCCGAATATATGTAAGAGAGAAATCTATGTTGTGCATTCTGAAAATGGGAAATAATTTAACTTTGATTGTGAGCATTTGGTATTTTGCCTTTTTGAGTTGTATATTTCAATTAAACCGAAAATGTACATACTTTAAGGTACGACCATATCTGTTTGTGAGGGGGGGTTGTTTGTCTTAATTGTTTGATTTGTATAAAAAATATTTGATTCATAAATAAACCCCCCAAAAAGTGTTTTATTTGAACGCTGTGTACCCGTTGACTAAACACGGTTTCTAAAATATTTTATTTTCTTGAAATAGTTTGAAAAAAGTTTGCTTCTGCAAACTATTTTAAATTTTGTTTTGCTTTGTATTTTCATTGGAAAAAATAGATTCTTGAAAAAACTATGCCCCCCACCCCCCACCCCTACTCCCATCAATATATATAGTTTTATGCAGAAATTGTACTGGGATCCGTAGCAAAAATGTTATATTTTTCATGAAAGGCAAGAAAATGTGAGAAACAGGGTGATTTTTCCTAGACTCAGCGTATATTCTTTTATTGAAAACACGAAAACGGAGCCACCACAACCACTTAGGTCAGAAAAATCACGGGTCATTATTCTTAACGCTTGGCTGTATGTATCACAATGGGGTTCTTTTTCATTTTTACATAAATTTTGGTGAAAAACAATCACAACAAAACAAAATCCAATGGAGGTCAATATATATACGTTGGTTTTAGATTAACTAGTTTTAAGTGTCTATTGTTTGTTCTTGTGTAATATAAAAATAAGGAGATGCAAAATGCTTGCCAATGAGACAACTATCCATCCAAGTCACAATGTGTAAAAAGTAAACAATTATAGGTCAAAGTACGTCCTTCAACACGGAGCCTTGGCTCACACCAAACAGCAAGCTATAAAGGGCCCAAAAAAGACAAGTGTAAAACAATTCAAACAGGAAAACAAACGGTCTAATCTATATAAAAGACGAGAAACACTTTATGAACCACACCAACAAACGACAACCACTGAACAACAGGCTCCTGACTTACTGGTAGGACAGGTGCCTAAAAATGCATCAGGATTAAACGTTTTAACAGGCACCAACCTTCACCCTAGCCTGAAACGGTGGTATAACATTACAACATAAAAAGACACACATATTTTAGATTTTTTTTAAAAGTCGTAGGTTGTTTTGAATGAGATGCCCACCTAATCCCTAAGGTGGCGGGTCGGATTTGGTGATATTGGAGCCACACAATATCAGCAAATCATATTCTGACCCCACCTAATTTGTTGAAAATTGTTTGATCAGAATCTGAATAAATAATTCCCTGTATAACGTACATTTTGTTTTGTAATTTGAATTCTGCATATATATAGTACGTAATTAAAATTCTGTATAGTCTGTATTTGCGTTAGCTAAGAATTTTACATCATAATTCTGTATATACAAGTCTATCCATACGGACATAGTTCTGTATATCTGTTTTTTTGATTCTGTAAATAATAAGCGATTTCTGTATATACAAAAAGGCACGAAAATACATAATTGAATGATATACATTGTACCTCTATACACAAATTGTAATTATGTATAATTATACATATTATGAACTAAGTAACTATATAAAAAGTATTAGAACTATATATGTAATAACATATACATTACAGTAAAGACAGACATATTTTTTTTAACCCCGATACCGGGGAATATAATTATTTCTAAGTGTCGGACTAATGGGTTGTCGGATTATTGGGCTGTTGGAGCAATGGGTTGTTGGATTATTGGGCTGTCGGATTATTAGGTTGTCAGAGTAATGGGTTATCGGAACAATGGGCCGTCGGACTAATGGGCTGTCGGAATAATGGCGTGTAACCGTTTGAATGTATTGACAACCCTGCGTACCAAGGTACATTGTAACCATATAATCAGACTCTAACTGAAAGTTACAAGCACATTGATTCACCATATATGATATAGAGTTACAAATGAAATTGGTCAAAGTTTCATATCAATGAAATTGAACTTTTTAAGCCCAGTTGTAATCTAATGTACTTTACATAATGTGTGTATAGAAATCAAAAGTATCAGTGCAGTAAAATAAAGGCATTGAAAAAGTGTACACAGGAGAACAAAAGTGGTGCAATCTACTAACATTTCTCTTATTTGTTTTGACAAGTAAATTCTCTGATATAAGAATTATGAATACCTTTAAAAAAAATATTTTTCTATTGGTAAATTACCTTGTGTATCACTTTCTCCTTAACTTAAATTTCTGCTCTGGTAACTTTAAATGGCACTGGTAGCAGCTACATTTTAGATACCTTAAAAACAAGTTAATATTCATAAGATTTTTGAATAAAGCAAAACAAAAAAATTGCATACCGGTAAGGGAATAATCTTCATTCATTGTAAGCCTGTAATATCTGACTATGTGGTATGGGCTTTGCTCATTGTTGAAGGCCGTATGTTGACCTATAGTTGTTAATTTCTGTGTCATTTGGTCTCTTGTGGATAGTTGTCTCATTGGCAATCATACCAGTCAGAGATATAACTCTATAGGGTTATTACAGAAAATAACTTGTGTGTGTTATTACAGATACGTTCATGAGTTGTCTACTCTTTATTCCTTATATTTTCTAAATCTGTAATAACATATGTTTGTTATTTGTAAAATTATTTCATTTATAGTGGCCTCTAGGGATCTCTTGAGACTTTGCGCAGAAACTAAATGCATAGCCTTGATAACTAATTTTTTAATTAAATTAATACATTTTTGATTAACCATGGTAAATCAATGAGACAAGGCTATTAAGGGATAAACTTAGCTGTGATAACAAGGCTTAGTTATTAAAGGAATTTAACTTATTATATAAGACACTTGGGAATTACTGAGAAACTTGCGCAGAACCTCATTACATGCTCTGGTCATTATTTCTTACAATATATTAAAATACATTGTAATTAAGCATGATGTATGTCTGAGCAAATGCTTTTAAGTGATATAGAGAAGCTGTGATAACACCCTTTAGTTATTACAGGCATATTTTTTCTGTAATAACATATAGGTGTATTATGCAAAATTGGCAAACTATGAACTGTTATATCTTTCAATAGTTAAGTATACAAATAGACAAAAGTAGTATCAATAGAACTTTTATACATTTTAACTAAACTAATGATGTATATTGTCTCTTTGAAACATATAACATACATACATAAGTTATCACAGTTCTTTGATGTTTTAGTCCACAATAACAAATGCATGTTATTTTTCTGTAATAACCCTATAGAGTTATATCCCTGACTGCATACTACATCTTCTTTTTTATATTCATACCTTTTCTCAAAAAATATTTTTGTTTGTATAAGGCTTTATTAGGAATAGGAAGAAAAGTGAAATACAAATGCAATTCCAAGGTTCCTTAAAGTGAGTCTGGCAACAGTAAAGAGTGATATGAAGTCAGTGATGTCCACCATGATATATAACCAAAAAAAAATACAGTAAATACAATGTACATGTACATGTATGTATTTCAGTTCCTCACTCATATTAAGAATAATAGTTTCACATAGGCATCATGTAATCATGATAATGAAGATTTCTGAAGTTTCATGCAATCCAAGGACTGGTCTTTGTACATATGGAGTTGCATATTGGAGATATATTGCATCCATAAATCCCCAATATTCAAGTAAATGGCTAAAAAAATATAACATAAAAGATAACAAGGAAGCACACAATGGTAAATCCATAAAAAGAAGCCTTAAAAGCCTGTAATGCATGTAATTCAGATGTCCTTTGTTCATGTTGTTTCTGTACATGTACTTTGTATATATCATATTTATTTTTTATTAAAAAATTAAATTGTATATAAATCAGACTGATAGTTTTCTGTTAGAAATGCTTTACATTTGTCATTTCTGGGCTAGTTATAGCTTACTATACAATATAAATGGGTTTACTCATTGTTGAAGGTTGTACAGTGTTAATGATAGTAACCTAGAAAGTTGTTTATATGTGACTGTTAATTGATCTCTAGCATGTCTAGTAAAACATTTTTCATTGGCAATCATTCCACATCTTCCTATTTTGATATTTCAAATATTAAGGGTTTATTTTAGTAATAATAAATAATTTAACTAAACAAGTCAACTGTCATGACTACATGGGTAGCATTCCATTTCAATTGCAACATTATAATTATAATATGTATGGGGACTGGTAGATTTAAGTTTTAGGGATGGATGGGTTAGGCTAAATAAAATAATATGTATGTATGTGTGTTTCCTTTTACATGTACCATGATTACATCTTTGAAAAAATGGGGTATGTACAAGTACATGTAGGTTACTAAGGTAGGAATTTTTTTATTATTTTACAATTTTTTTTTTATATTGAGTCTATGTGAGAGAAATTCTGACTTGAACAGTGCTTTTTGAAAATTGACCAAAAAAACTTTAAGGTACTGTACATGTACCTGTACCGTATATCATGCACATGTACATGTTACTTTGTATGCCTAAGCTTAAAATTATAGGGTACATTTGTAGGTAAGAAAATAGGAAACATACATATTTTTTTAATTGGCCATAGGGACAGATCCCGCTGGGCCCAGACCAACATGAAAGCTATTGGTCACATACATGAAACACAGTGAACATTTGAACAAATACTACATGTATAGATAGAGACCCCCCCCCCCCCCCCAAAAAAAAAAAAAGAAAAAAAAAAGAATTAAAATAATAATCCTATTATTAATGTACTTGTACTTCACATTTAATAAAAAAGTAATCATGTTAAACCTACCACTTCCAAATATTTGTATTCCTCCAGGATCCTTTCTCTATGGAAACTTGAAAGGCCTCTGAATGTCTGTCTTTTGCCTTCATGGTCAGGATGTGAACAAGTTTAAGTAACCTTCACCCTGTCAATACTTTATACCAAGTTTGATACAGAGTGATGGATAAACTCTGAGTGAAATATTAGTAGCAAAAATCCATTCTCTGTGGGATAACACTTTAAACAGGTCTGCTTTCTTCAGTTGTTCGTTCATGATTGTAGTAATTTGTAGTTGTACGCAGCGATACTTCTACATTCAGAATTTCAGTCCAACAGCTAATTCAAGTGATATTTTACATCTCTGTGTGACACAAACTTAGCTTAATAAGAGTTGTGTCTTTTGAGTAACGTTAGTAAAGACCACAACTAGAATTACTTTGCAGAAAGCTGCATAAACAACATCGTAAATTTGCCTCCACATGTTGTGAAGCAGAACCGGAAGTGATGAATTGTAAACAATATACAAGATGCACTTGACAAAAATGATTAGTAAAAATTATTAATCTATCCAATCTAACACCATAAACAAATGAATCTTTACTAAATTAACAATTTCTCAAACTGTTAGTTTTTTTTTTCAAAAGATGCAGCATACAATATGAAATTTTTTTTTTTACTTGTTTTGAAGTTCAACATGAGTTGTCTTTCTTGGAATAGTAAGAAAAAGCGGTTAATTTAAAATGAAAATAACTTGAGATAGGTGCAAGGCTACAAATAAAAAAATTTGATATATTGTTTGGAAGATTCCATATTTTCTGTAATGCTAAATGGTTTACTAAAAATAGCCTGTTCACAGCAGATATATGTTATAACATCCATCATATTTCCAATGCTTATATAGTGAGGAAAACATGCCCATCTGAATTTTTATTAGGGTATAAATGACATTAATAGTAGGCATCAACAATTATGGTTGAATATATTTCAATTTTTACTCAAAATGTGTCACATAACCAAATATTAAGCACATTGGTAACATACGGTAAATCACTTTTTCTTCATATTGCATGATTCTTAGGTGGAGCTATACTTAAGCAGGGGCGGATCCAGGATTTTGGAAAGGGGGGGCGTAGTAATAAAGTTCGCCGAGCGGAGCGATGCGAAACAATTTTTTGGACCTTTTTTTGGCTAAAAAACATAAAATAAGTGTAAAATGCATTTTATAGTTAAAGTGTAGGGGTTGGACATTTTTGGTGCCGTATTCTCTCCACCAATTGTCTATTATGAAATGATTGGATGGATCCAAAGCTATGTACTAATTAATATATTTGATGTGGGATTTGTCAGTAAAAAATGGACATGGAAAATTATCGTTTGTTGTATGGTTAGTTAGCATAACCTCACAGATTTCTTGTTGTAAACAAGATATACGGCTATTCAATGAAATTTACAATACGACCGACACGAAGAAAGACAAACAAGCAATTTTCATCCAAATGTTTGGTTGAAATGTTTTACCCAACAAGGGAAGTGAGGGGTTCCAAATCAACCAAAGGCTACGAATTAGTCGGAAATGACAATGAAGTTGTGAATGACGGTCGACACATGGAGACATATAGGCCACACCCAGCAGGCAGGTTGCAGTCGGGCCTTGACAAAGTATTCAGTATATCAGTTCGGCGAAACAGACATTCCGGTCAGATATGGGATTCACATGCAACCCCCCCCCCCCCCCCCCGCCCCCCCAAAAAAAAATTACGCCCGTTTTTTATTCATCATGTTCATTTAATGCTAAATGATTCTGTTGAAAATATATTTTTCTAATAGCAAAAAAGTGGACAAGATTATTGTTTTCAATCCAGATACGGCCAGAATCTTTGTTTAAGGCAAAAATCAGGGTCAGAATTTTTTCTCTTAAAAATCTCAGACTGTCCCTCAGATCAAATGGTCCGTACCTTAGACTTTAAATCTATATCTATAGCTTACTGACTGGGGATCACTATTCAGCAATGTTATTAATGGGCTGGGGCGTGTGGGGTTAAACATGTTTTCGTAGGTAAATAATATTGCTGTGGAACTTTTTTTTTCATGAGAGTGTAATAGAGTATTACTTTCTGTTGGGTGGAATTGTGAAATAGAATTCAATACGTTCTTGCTCAATACTTTGTCGCTTTGAAGGCGTCGTGCTTGTCATCCTCAGCCTAAGCAATGTGTTACTGTGATTTGAATTTCAAAATTACTGAGTGACGTTTTTTTCGACGAACTGGTCAGCTCCACCGTAGAGAATCACATGACTTTGACATAATCAATAATATATTACACTAAATAGAGGTTTCTCAACATCTTACGAACGGACGAAAATCGCCTTGACTTGACGTAACTTGCCGTAACGAGAAAAGAGGGAGCACTCATTTATTGAATGATTTTGTACTATCGGATGTGCACTTCTTTTCATTAAGATATGCATGCAGGGTTCTTTTAAACCATTTTGAGTTGTGGACATATGATTATAGTGAATGCGAGTTCTTTCTGATGTGTACTTAGTGACTTAGTGTCCTTTTTTGTTGAGATTGGAGGGGCAATGAATATTTTTGAAATTAATCTAGGCTCAGATCAAAGGTAAAAAGTCCTGCGCCAAAAAAGAGGTAAATTGAATCTAGGAGTGAACGACTCTAGAAAAAATTGGTTTTTAATTTGAAAAAAAAAATCCTTGGGTCCGAGATAACTTTGAAGCCTCAAAGCTCTAAAATCCAAAAGATCAGTTCTTCAAATTACATAATTATTGAACTATTTTCAACCTAAATTGGCAAGAAAATGAATAAAGTGAAAAACTGAAATAGATATTTGAGAAAAAAAAGTTCACTTGAAAAGATATTCTGTAATGTATTGTTGATTTTTGTTTTATTTTCAAGGCCTTTCTTATCCTTTTTGTCTGTGTTTTTATTATCGTACACATATTAGTATATTAGTATAATTTAAAAATATTTAATGTACATTTTTATAACTATATTACAATCAGTTTTGTTGGTGCTGTAGCACTCATACTTTCCATTAGAATACACACTACTCTTACTTACGACATAACTGATCCCCCCCAAAAAAACCAACATTTAAAAACATAAATAAATAGCGGTTTTAACGACATATATATCGAAGATGCATAAAAAATGCAGCCTTTTCTTGCTGTTAGGAGTGGTTCCTAATATTTATTATTGAATACTATCGAATAAATGAGGAGATAAATGAAGAAATCAAACTGTCTTAAACGACATTTTTTTCTCTTAATCCGTTTTTGGTCGAGCCTTCGACGTTTGTCTAAAAAGCGAGACATAGCGATCCTACATTCCGTCGGCGTCGGCGTCGTCGTCGTCGTCGGCGGCGGCGTCCACAAATATTCACTCTGTGGTTAAAGCTTTTGAAATTTTAATAACTTTCTTAAACTGTCCTGGATTTCTACCAAACTTGGATAGAAGCTTGTTTATGATCATAAGATAGTACCCAGAAGTAAATTTTGTAAAAAACAAATTCCTGTTTTCCCGTATTTTACTTATAAATGGACTTAGTTTTTCTGCCAGGAAACATTACATTCACTCTGTGGTTAAAGTTTTTAAAAATTTTAATAACTTTCTCAAACTATCCTGGATTTCTACCAAACTTGGACAGAAGCTTGTTTATGATCATAAGATAGTATCCAGAGGTAAATTTAAAAAAAAAATCCTGTTTTTCCGTATTTTACTTATAAATGGACTTAGTTTTTCTGCCAGGAAACATTACATTCACTCTGTGGTTAAAGTTTTTAAAAATTTTAATAACTTTCTCAAACTATCCTGGATTTCTACCAAACTTGGACAGAAGCTTGTTTATGATCATAAGATAGTATCCAGAAGTAAATTAAAAAAAAAATCCTGTTTTTCCGTATTTTACTTATAAATGGACTTAGTTTTTCTGCAAGGAAACATTACAATCACTCTGTGGTTAACATTTTTTAAATTTTAATAACTTTCTTAAACTATCCTGGATTTTTACCAAATATGGACAGAAGTTTGTTTAGGATCAAAAACTAGTATCTAGAAGGAAATTTTTATTAAAATTTTGTACTTGTTTGTCCATATTTAACTTATAAATGGACTTACTTTTTCTTCGAGTTAACATTACATACAGTCTGCAGTTAAATTTTTTAAAACATTTATCAGATTCATAAACTATCCTGGATTTTTACTAAACTTGGACAGAAGCTTTTTACAATAAAAGAATTTATCGAGAGGAATATTTTTATTAAATTTTTTCCTCATCTCATTTTTATTAAGCCTGCGATTAACAGCAAAAGTAGGCGAGACACTGGGTTCTTACGAATTTTATTCAATATATATATATCGAAGTTGCTTTACACTTATACATGTATTAACATTAATCAGAATATATGAAAATTATGGTTAACGAGTTTTTGTGTTAGACCTTTTTTGCCACTTTTGTTTATGAAGTGACCAAATTTCATTTCTCTGTGACTTTCAAAATTCAATCTTTATTATTTGTCTACAAATAAGTATAGGAACAGATTAGTCTTCTTTGTTTGAACTATAAGAACTAGCTAAGGCCATATGCACTGCTGATATATTCGTCTGTGTAGCCTATAAATACACGCAAAACATCTCTATAATACAGTGATCTGCTGGTCTCACGCAGATATAGTGTTGTGGTTTTTAAAGTCCAGCGCGCTGGTGTGTAACGTCTAGCGCTGTAGATATAAAGTCGAGCGCTAGAGATGTTTTGTTCAGAGTTGGAGATTTAAATATTAAAGTTGAGGACACAATGTGTCCTCTCAATCACTTTTCAATCCTTTATCAAATGTTAATATCGTCGTGAAATGCATGGAATAATTGCCACTGAACGTTTATTAAAAAAAAACATCCAACAATCACTCAGGCAAATGCAAACCAAATGCGCAGATTTGTTTTTTTAACAACGATGTTCTTTTTAAATGGATAAGGCAGATAAATCGAACGCATTTCGACACGTAAATAAACGAAACTCAACGTAAGGTTACGCAACATTCAACAACACAAAACCAATTGGAACACTAATGTTTAACCAAAACAATAAATTACAAGGTTGCAAAATGAATATTAAATTCTTTACTGTTGTCTTTGAACACGCTGCAATATCGGTAGAAATTTTTACTGCATAAAATTACAGCTCCCTTACGATACGTTCGTCGAGTTTCGTCCGTTCGTAAGATGTTGAGAAACCTCTAATACGAGCGAAAAATATCTTTATAAGTAAAGAATTGTCGCATAAAAATTAAATACACGGGAAATGGCAAAGTTCACGAAGTCTAGTCTGATTAATCATTTTACAAAAAAAAAAAAAAAAAAGTGCAAGCAAAGGGGGGGGGCGTACGCCCTCTACGCCCCCCTCTGGATCCGCCACTGCTTAAGAACACATTATTTTTCATATTAAGGTACGATAGAAGTTTTATATTAAGGGCATACGATACAGTTTTGATCCCATAATGAAATTTTGATGAAAATTTGCAAATAGGCTATTTTTTACCTTCTTAAATCAAATATGTAATAAAAAAATATACCTTCATGTGCTACTTTTTGAGTAAAATGAGGTCGAAATTTCAGATATTTGCTCAAAATTCGGATTTGTGGACATATTTTTCCTTCCGACGGAAATGCATAACTTTTTTGTTTTAGAAGATAAACACAAGCTGTTTTTTGTTAAATTATTTATAATTTCTCTTTTATATAAGTATCCTATAAATTTATGAAATTTTTTGTTTAGCAATTACTAAAATTTATCAAATGTTCATGAATGTAGAAAAAAACGTCATTTTTTGCTGTATATTTATCAAATTAAAAAAAAAATGCATTATTGACTTTTTCATGAAAATGGGTACCAATAATCTTTATACGTAATCAAACCGAATGTCATTTTTAAAAAGAGGGGTCCATGAACTCGTTTAAAAGTTAAATCAGTTTGAATGATAAAAATCAGTCGAAAAATACATCTTTTCCTGATATGTCACAGTTAACAGTTGGAAAGCAGGTCACGGTTTGACCCCAAGTCTATCAGCTACAATAGAGTCACGTGACCGTGAAAATTCAGTAAAACTACGGATGAGACAAACCTCACTTTTACTCGCTAAAATACTACTGTCGTGGTAAAAACTAATTGATCAAAATAATCTTGAATATACATAGTTTTAACTCGTCAAAACTTACACATCAACTCAAAGTCCTTTATTCTTTATTTTATCTTCAAACTTGAAGTTTGTGTGAAAATTGTCAAGGCTCCTGATCGAAAAATCAAAATATTTTCGAGGAAACTAAAAATGATGGGCTGAATTTAAATTTAATAAAGCATCTCATTAAGACAAACACTCGATATGAATATCTAGGCAATACAGTTTTGGATACGCAAACGTCATAACGTATAAAGTTATGTTCAACACGAAGCGGTGGTTTTTTTGCCGATTTGTGCAAGTGGTTATCTCCCCTTGATATCACCAGTCAAAAATAAAAACCCACCAAAATGAATAAAAAGGAGTTTATTTTACAAAAATCAAGAAGAAAATAAAGGAAAGTCGATTAACAACTATGTTATTATAATATTAAGAAGAGATACTTCCCTACTTTTCAGAGAAGGATTACAGGTAAAAATTTAAACACAAAAAATTGGTAAAAATAAGATCTAGAAACCTAGCTGAATTGATATGAATTAGCCTCTGGCTGATGAAATTTACTTTCAGTTTGTAGTTTTTATAATGGGATATGGGATCACTCCTAATGGATTTTCTTTTAACTACTTCTAACAATGTTTAATGCAATAAAACATACTGTATACAATTTAAATAATCTTTCTGAAAAAAAAATAGTACTGACCATTTATATTTCATATTTTAATAAAGTGGGACCAAGAGTCACAATTCAATTTCTTCAAAGTAAAAAAGCCTTTTAACTCAAGCCTATGTTTCTTAGTTGAACAGTACAGTAATGCCTAGAAAATATCATACAGAAAAAGGAAAAGTTTACCAAAAAAATGACAAAAATTCTGTAAAAAAATAATGCTTAAAATTATAAGTGAAAGTGACATAATTTTGAATTTTAAAATCATTATTATTGTAAAATTCAACTATTAGATTAGCTAGCACAGTAGCCCTTGTCCAATTTCTCAGGGTATTTTATAGATTATGAAAGTAAACTTTTTGAAAAAAAATGGGGCTTCTTCTCTTCAGGTTGCTGTATCTGCTGCTTTACGTATTTATAAATAAAGTATTGTATATTTTACCTGAATAATTGGATATTAATCTCAGAAATGAAAGTTGGTATGACAAATCTTGTGCATTTTACTTTAATAATGACAATGATGATTAAATTTGACAAGAATTTGCCATTTGAATAAATTCCATTTTGTGAGAACACATCTCTATGAATTAATTTCTTGTTTGACTTGAAAAGCTAGTGTTTGCTCTTATTAATGTAGCTTACTTAGTAAAGAGATAATTAATAAGTAAGGTTTTTAACTTATAAAATATAAATATAATTAACTGACCTTCATTTCCTTTTTTCATATGTTTTTTCCTCCAGAAGTTTTCTTTGCAATGCATTTTCTATTACTATTTTTGTGCTTTTGTTTATCCATAGGCCATCATTAATTTGTCATATTTGCTTCGAGTATAAATGAAATTTTCTTAGACCTATAGTGGCTATTCTATAGTTTCAAACGCCATAAAGAAGAACTTTGTTTATTGTTTCACTTGTCCAATGTGTAAATTTTCACCATGCACATGACCCTGACACATATTTTGTAAACGTTATATGACGTATGTTGAAAAAGAAAACAATGTCACCGTCAATTTGTGTAGGGGATCAAAAAGGGTTTTAATTACTTTAAAATGGAGGTATCGTATGGAACTGTGAAAAACAACAACTTTTAATCACAATTTCATTCATATATATAATAAAATCAGTATTTTAGAATACTTTGGAAACAGGTACAATGAAAAAAAGTTGAACTTTACTGTTTTGAAGTAGAAACGCAGCCAAAACCAGGTACAAGTTGACATGACTGGTGGTCACCAAAATTGATGTATAATAGTAAGAAATGATGGCTTCAAAATTGTGTAGAAATATGAAATAGTTTACCCGGTTTCATTTAAGATTATTACCGTTCTTTTCCGTATTTGGATACGCAAACGTCAAGTTATGAAAAATCGATGTTTTTGGCGAACAACAAAGATGGCTGAATTTTTTTTAGAACGGACAGGATAAAGAAATAGCAATAACAAGCTATTTTTGATAATTTTTGTATGACGTATTGAAACTATATTGGTCGCAAAACCTACAAATTTTAAAATTCAATTATAATAAAAGCATGACAAGTTGAAATAAATACTTTAAACGTCAATCTTTTAGCCGATTGATTTGGCGGACTTTTTGACGTCGCGGACGACTGTAGCGCCACCTAATTAATCCCCCCTGCTATTGTTGCTGATAGAGCTTGACGACAACGGACGATTCCAAGGACTTGCTTTCCAACTGTAAACGTCGCGAAAATAACATTTTACGTTAGCAACGTCATTACCCCCCCCCCCCCTGAAACTGTATCGTATGCCCTTAAGAGAACTCTCACAATGTTAGATCTCGCCTCCATTTTATACAATTATTAATTGATGACATTTTCCGAAGATCACATGACGAGAAATCGTGCCTCTCTTGGGGTCTTGAATGATGAAAGAAATAACCAACATTTGAGAAAATTGCCGGGTCGAAAAGAAAGAGATTATAAGTTATCTACGTTCATATCCGTAGATATGGATATTTTAACACCCTGAAGTATCCAAGTACACCCTGAGGCGAACACCCTGAAGTATCCAAGTACACCCTTAAGATAACTTAATTTGCAATAGTTCTTTTTCATATTACCGACTTTTGACTCTGAAGTATATGATTTTTAGACAGGTTACCTTCTCTGTGGTAGGACATTTCTGGTCTCTATTCAAGTAAGAGCAACTGCTGAAAGAAGTAGGGTCAAGCTTACAATCAGTGAAATTAGTTTGTCATGTATAGAAAACATAAATCAGTTTATTCCCCCCCCCCCCCTCCAAAAAAAAAGTTTTTACTTTATCTAGTTGCTCTTACTCGAACGGGGACCAGAATATCTTACAACAGAGTATGTAACCTGTCTATATATTATTAATTAAATTGAGAATGGAAATGGGGAATGTGTCAAAGAGACAACAACCCGACCATAGAGCAGACAACAGCCGAAGGCCACCAATGGGTCTTCAATGCAGCGAGAAACTCCCGCACCCGGAGGCGTCCTTCAGCTGGCCCCTTAACAAATAAGTATACTAGTTAAGTGATAATGGACGTCATACTAAACATACCGGAGTCAACAGTCGGTAATATGAAAATAAACTATCAAAAGGTTGAATTTCCGCCAATTTTCAGTTAAAATCTTTTGGCGCTATCAAACCTGTACTATGACGTCGACGTTATTTGCGTAATCGTAAAGACAATAAAAAAAAGCCTTGGCACATTGAAGGGGTTTTGTTTACAATTTGTTTGGCAGCGAAAGGGTTAATCTAACTTTTCAGATGATTTTTTTCAGAGAAACATGTTTTCAAGCTAAGAATATTTTGCTTTTGATGTTATCTTCATATAGAAATATCAGTATACTTCAAAAACTTAAAGGTCTGAACATTAACTGCAGAAAACATGGAAAATGATGGCAAAAATGAGCACCCCACTCTACATATCATTTTCTCTTCACTTAGTTTTACATTTGCTTGTTAAATTGAAAACTACTTTGAATATTAACTATCAGCTTATAAATTCTTACCAACTGTACTTTTTCTTTTATTCACCTTTTGTTGCAGTATTCTTTTTATTTTGTTCAGTTTTTATCTGTTTACACTCTTGCTGCCAAAGGCCCTTTACAAAACTTGTTTATTGTGTAGAACGTCACAACGTAACGTAACGCCAAAAGGGGTGCATTTCCGCCACAGGGTTATTTTTCATCTTTTTTTTTATCAATTTTATTTCATTCAGTTTCTGATGCGAACAAGAAGCCAGAAAACGCCCGGTATTTACGTTTGACACCAGAAGCAATTAGAACTATGACTTCACCTAGTTTAGGTGCCAAAAAAGATTTATAACATCATTTCGGGGAATGAAAATTTAATGAAAAATACACCGAAATAATGACTAACTTGCACCTATTTTGACAGTTTTTCCACCTACGTTTTTTTATGATCCAGACAAAAGTTTCCATTGTGTGTTCATTTTGTAGACCTATCCTAATTTACTATATAGTTACACCAATATAATTTTGAATCCGTATTCAATCATAGAAAAATGGACTTGAACTGACCTCCAAACGACCCTTGATTCTGTAATGAGGAGTACCCAACATTGCATCTAAGCTTAAATTCACATCCTTAAAAATTGAATAATAGATGTTTTGTTCTATTTCTTCAAATATTTAGAAAAATTTGACATTATTCCATGCTTAATATTCATTTTTTTTTAGAAATGGATGCTTGTAACTTATTTTATTTGCTCATTTTTAAAAGATGACTTTTTGTGAACGTCGCATGACGACATTTCCGCAGATTTTACTTGTTCAGTGAATGGTTCATCAGTTGATATATATCTAAACATGTTTGCCTATATGTTGAAGGACGTGTATAACGTGAGGGTACCCAAATTGCACCTATTTTGACAGTTTTTTCACCTACGTTTATTTTTGATCCAAACAAAAGTTTCCATTCTGTGTTTATTTTGTAGACGTATCCTTATTTACTATTTAGTTACACCAATTTAATTTTGAATCCATATTGAATCATAGAAAAATGGGTTTGAACTGACCTCCAAACGACCCTTGATTCTGTAATGAGGAGTACCCAAATTGCATCCATGCTTAAATTCACATCCTTAAAAATCGAATAACAGATATTTTGTTTTATTTCTCCAAATATTTAGAACGTTAGTGTCAAATCCTAAAATTAAAAATGGTTTAGTCTCAAAGAAAACTTTTTAAATTTCCGCAGCTATTTTTGTTGAAAAGGTGCAATTTGGGTACTCGGTGCAATTTGGGTACTGTGACGTTAGATTGAATAACTTATTTATTTTGCATTAGAATAGAGATAACTGTATTATATTTGAAGCTTTGCGACGTCAATCGGTAGTTTTACTGTCGCAAATATCCGTTTACCTTTCTCCGCTACGCGTCACCAGGTAAGCTCAATTTGCGACAGTAAAACAACAGATGGACATCCGCAAAACTTCAGTTATCTCTAAATTGCTTTTGCTCCCACAGATAAGATATAACGGAAACGTTTTAATATGTTGTAGATTATCCTTCATTGGATTTATGACTCGGAACATCAATAATTAACACGGTTTAGATATACTTTTATACGATTAAAATATATTTAAGTCCGATTTTTGCATAATCTATGTGCGTACAGTGTCAGGGTAACACATTTCAAATAATTTTTTTTCATATTTTCTGATTGCCTTGATATCTGCAAAAAGAACTATTTTAGTATGTAAATGATAACTCTAACGAAAAACCACAGCTTCTTTATTATTCTATGCATCATTTTTTCTACAAACTAAATTCAATCGGCGTACATGAAATACATGTCTATTCTGTTACCGATACTAGATCAACCGTTAAATTGTTTCTCCCTATGAATATGGAACTATTCAGTGATGATTTCATAAGCACAAAGCATTATAATATTTAACACAGCACGTTTCTTGCATAACAGCGTATTGAAAAAAGAAAATTCAACAAATTCAGTGAAAAAAATTAGTGAGTACCCTTTTATCATGTCTATGCTGTTACCAACAAATGTATTACTTACAACAATATTATACTTGTAAAAAGTGCAATTACGTGTTCAACATGTTCAATGATGTTGTTGTTAAAAATCACCCGCAGAAAAACATTATCACAACATCAAAGGGAGTAGCTATTTCACAACAGCATTCATCAATGAAGAAATTTGTCTATCCTGTTATCCTGTTATGTCTTAGTATCCTGTTACTATGATATAACTATGGTTACAGTAACAGAAAAGACAATATTTGACTGAAACGTCTCTAAAAAGTATATTATATAATTACATATAATTTTACACATAATAGAATGTTTGGTTGCTTGAATTCATTTAAAGGTTACAACGTCATATGTTAGACAAAAAGGGTAACAGGATAGAACTTAATATGGTGATATATCGGTTACCAAAAACAAAAAGACAAAAGGAAACCAACATGTGAGGGAAGTACTTGATGTTGGGTTTATCAGAAGGGGGGAGGATGCTGAACATTATGAATTGCTGTCTTACACTTACGTTGCTGGTGACTTTATTACAACCTTTGAAAACCAATTTGTAGAGGTATTTTTCAGTACAGCATGAAACATTGACAAATAATCTATCATTACACTAAATGAAAATATATAGATTGTTTACTGTTGAAAACCTTCTTATTGGTCATGAAAAACAAGCATAGAATTTTATCGTTGAAATCTTATCTAAATAACACAAAATTTCTTTTGAAAATGGTAACAGGAAAGACAAAATATTGCATCACCTATCAAAAAATGTTTCAATATATTTTTGTATGACATTATCAAGATTGCATCTTTCTATATGTTTTTCCATATTGTTTGTTTTGATTTGTTTAGGAAGAGGGTGGTTTAAATTAGTAACTTTTATTCAATTTTGCAATTTCAAAATTTGACATTTTTGAAAATGACACACGTAATGAATAATGAATAGTGAAATAGCTTGTATTTCAGTATTCAAGTTGAAAAGTGAATAATGAGCTAGATCAGTTATTATTTGACTATGAAACTATCCCCTATTTCTTAAGATTTTCAAACACTCATGAGGGGGTGGACAGGGGGATACCCTTCTCCCCCCTCCCACTTTAAGAATCTTTTTTCTCTCCCACCTATTTTTTGTCTCCCACCTCCCGCCCCGCCCCCCCCCCCCCCCAACTCCAACCTCCCTCAAAAGCTGTCCACCCCTCACTCATTGATATTTTTTTTTCATCTTTATTTATTTATTTAGTTTCGGAGGGTTTCCCTAGCTATTTCCTAACGGAAATTCCGTTTTTTTTTTTATTTTATGGAGAACATGAATAGCAAACATGTATGAAAATTAAAAAAAAAAACACTATACATTGGATTTTCTTCATCCACTAATTACATTGATACCTTATACGCCAATCAGCTTATCGATAGAGGAACAAAATGTATATAGTCAATATGTGCCACAATATTTTTTATATGCTGATTAGAGGGGTTACGGAGGACCGAAATACCATTATTCACAATAGGCAATTTCTTAATGTTCACGCTTATTTTGGTATTTAGGTCCTCCGTAACCCCTCTAATCGGCATAGTGGCAAATATTGATTATATACCTTTTGTTCCTCTATTAATAAGTTTTCGAATGGTGTATAAGTTATCTCTGTAATAAGTGGCTGAAGAGTTGAGCAGCCCATTCCATTATTAAAAATATGCTATTTCTTAATGTTCACGCGTATTTTGGCATTTAGGTACTCCGTAACCCCTCTAATCCGCACTGCGGCACATATTGATTATATACCTTTTTATTCCTCTATCGATAGATCTTTCGAATGCATTGTGACACAATCGTTATGTCTCAGTGTAATCAGGAGATAAAGGGTCGCTGAGGTCCTTTTAAAAATCAAAATATCCAATGTATAGTTTTTTGATTTTTATGTATGTTTTGGTATTCAGGTCCTCCATACATTAAATCAAAGTATTGACGTGCTGTTTACTCGGATGAACCCAAGATCTGATGGCTTCCATGTAGACTACTATAGCAGTTGCTTTTTCAAGTCAAATATATAACATTTCAGCTACATTTAAGACGATAACATGCTACTAATTGTCTAGGGTCTGTTGGCGCAGAGGGTCGAAAGGCATAACAAAAAAGTTAAATGTGTTTTGCACTGTCTGAAGACTGGATAATACATTTAATGAATGTATTCCGATCAGAAAACAGACACTCTTCCCCGATACAAGACTGGAGAAGTGTGAGTTACTACAATTCTATACTCATGTGACTCTTGCTTGTGAAAATCGTATGCTTTGGTTGCCCTTTTCCTTAAAACTTCACAGCGTGGACCTTTTTTGTTCTTTGAATAGTTTTAAATATTTCTAATTAATTCACTTTTTCTTAATCATGCCTTGACCCCACCAATGCATAACATATTAAATTCATGTAATTTCTACCATGCATGTTTATAATAACAAGTGTTTCATTTGTTTTGGTGAATTGTTCAAACGGAAGAGGTAAAATCTCGATCTTTCTCTGAAATTAATTCTATCAAAACTTTTGATTTTTCTACCCTGTATACCACCATTTCCCATGTGAAATTGAAAAATCGTCTAAACGAAATAATCCACAATGCTTTTCAATATAAAAATGGCAGCATACGCTATAAATTTATTTCTTTGGAATACCATACGGCATATTTTGTTTATAGTGAACAAAAAGGTAAAACATGCTACACAGAGGAACAAGTGATCAGTATGCTGGAGTTTCTAATATACAACATATTTGTTGAATTTGGAGGTAGACTTTTTCAGTAAGTTGTCGGCATTCCTTTGGGAACGAACTGTGCGCATCTCCTTGCCGACATCTTATTTTCATATGAGTCGGAGTTCCTTCAGACACTTGTCAAAAACAAGAAAATCAAAGAAGCCCGATCATTTAATTTCACATTCAGATATATTGATGATGTTATTTTCATTAACAATATAAACTTTTCTGATTGAGTTCCATTAATGTATCCTCCAAAACTAGAAATTAAATAACTAACAGACACTGTTTCCTCCGCCTCATTTTTAGACTTATACCTCGAATTTGACATAAGCGGTCATCTCAATACCACAATCTAT